TGATAGGGTTAGTTGGGAGTTTTTATGGGATGTGCTCAAGGCCTTTTGGGTTTCCTCCTTATTGGATTCGACTAATTAAGCAGTGCGTCTCTACGGTCTTGTACCAGATGCTTGTCAATGGCAGGCCGTCCACTGTTCTCCGTCCTACTTATTTGTCCTTTGCATGGAAGTATTTTCAATGATTCTTCGAAAGGCTGATGAAACTGTTATATTTCAAGGATTGCGTATTACTAGATGGGCTCCTTCAGCCTCCCATATGTTCTTTGCTGATAATGTATTATTGTTTCTATGTGTTTCTCTAGAGGTATGTTCTCATCTTTTGGGAGTGATTAACCGCTTCTGTACCACTTCTGGTCAGATGGTTAATGTTTAAAAGTAATTGTTAAATTCAGTTCGAATACTCCGGAGGATTACCGCGAGTTCTTAAGTTCCGCTCTGCGTATGCAAGCTTAAAAATTTGCTTGGCACATACTTGGGTCTTCCGGTTGTTTTAGGTCGTGCTAAATGTCACCAGTTTCAACCCTTTGTGGATAAAGTATCGTAAAAGCTGTCAGCATTTAGTTCTCGATATTTATCTGCAGACGGCCAAGTTGGTCTTATCAATACGGTGGTCATAGCTAGCGTCTTTAAATCATGTGCTCTCGGTTTTCATAAAGTTGCCTACGACTATTTTTGACCGTATTCATCAGATTCTGACTTGTTTTTGGTGGAAAAATAGCAAATCCACTAGAGGTTTAGCTTTAACTCCTTCAACCCTTCATCTTCCTCGAGGCTTAGGGGGTTTGGGCATCCGCCATGTGCCCTCCTTTAACTTGGCTTTGCTAGCTAAACAAATGTGGCGTCTTGTAGGCGTCGCTCGAAGTGCACCTACGTTAAGCATGTTGTGAATATGCTTGACACTCATAGGAAGTGGGAATTGACATATAGGATTAAGGACAACGATTAGGGACAAAGAAATTAGGGAGACGCCAACAAGTTTTTAAGGAACTTGTAAACCATTCACGGATCATAAAAGGCAACCACAAATAAAGGGACAACGATAGGCAACAACGATTGACCCGTGAATGTTACACCCCATTCATAATCCATGAGATTACTGACTCCATATGGTTCAAAACCACGAAAGGAGGATCGGGGATGATGGTACGAAGTGAGTCATGGAGTCACATTCGCCCGTATTGGCCTCTACTCGATTCTTATAGTGAAAAAGTGATTCCTGTGATCTCAAAGGCATGCAAACAAAGATTCAATTAGCTCCAAACTATTATTATGCTAAATTGGTTTAATATTAATGCAACATATAATTCTAAAATATTAGTGATCACTTGATTTACACAACAAGATTAAAAAGGAACCTAAACTGGTCGTCCAAATTATCTTATTAGGCGTGATTTTCAATTACATATTCCCTTTAACATGCAATATGGTGATCAATAAATATAATAAATTAAACATTAATATTGGAAGCAATTTTAACAATAATAGCGTTAATCAAATCAAATATAAAATAACCTAATCATGATGCTAGCAATATTAAAATAAAATAAGAGTAATTAAATTAATTAAATTAATTAATTACTCACATTTCGCGCGCTCTTTAAAATTGCTACATCATGAATAAATTGTTAGTATCTTCAATAAAAAAATATAAATCAAATGAAAATTAAATTAAATAAATGTAGATTTGATTTGGTCCAAACCCTCAGTTATTTGTACCTTTCACGCCTTGATTTAAGGACAGAACCTCGGATTAAGTATGGACTCCTTGGAGTGCTTAAGGGAAGAATGATATAATTAGGAATATAGGGTTAAGGCTTAGAATATGGGAGAGAGAGAATAGAATGATTTTTGGTGTCAAAAGAGAGAATGATTTGATGCCCCGAACTGCAGAAATTAGGGTCCTATTTATTGGGAAATGAGCAGAGGGAATACATGAAACCCTAAAAAGATAAAAACCCTAAAAAATAATGCCGCCACACGGTAAAATGCACCGTGACACGGTACACTTTAGTGTGACGCGGGGTAATTTGGTGTGACACGGGACAGAAACAAACCTACATAGGATAAAACGCGTTTAGGGATTACGGGATTACGCGGAGAAAACATGGAGCAGTCCCGTGTTACAGGATGTGCACCGTGAGATGGTAAAATATGTCGTGACGCGGCAATATTTCCCGTGGCGCGGCACTTTTTCCCGTGTCACGGTGCAGTTTTTGCATCCAGATTCTTAAGCGCAAGGAAAAGAAACGCGGGAAAGACACGGGAAAGCACCGTGACACGGTGAAAAATCCCACGTCACGGTACTATTCCCATGCCACGTCATCATCTCCCGTGACGCGGCAGGTATGTTGTTTGCGCGGCAATTCTAGTTTTTTAACGCGTTTTTAAAATTGCGATAACTTTTGATCCGTAACTCAGAATAAGGCATATAATATATCATTGGAAATATTATCAAGTATACTTTCCAACCCAATCAAAATCAGGTCAAAATCATTTAAATATTTTAAGATATGGCCGTTTTTTGTGGAAAAGTGTCGGTTTTGGGCCGAGTTTAGTGTTTTGCTCATATCTTTTTCGTTATAGCTCGGAATTGGGCTTATGTGATATATGGTTGGAAAGCTTATTTCAATGAATATCCAACCAATTAATAATTAGATCAAAATTATAATATAAAAAATTAGTTTCTCTCGATTTTGCGATGTGGACACGAAAAGTGGATAACAAGTTAAGGTTTAGGAAAATAAGCTAGGAAATGGATTGGTTTATGAAATGTATTGGATAGAATATGGATTTAAGCACTCCAAAGATTAAATACTCAACACGACCAATAATGGTGGTGAAAGTTGTTCATCATCGGGTTTGGTTTTGGGGAGACATTTTTAGGTGTCTACACATCTAATTCATCATCCACGGCTTTTGGTTTTGAGGATTTATCGTGCTCGTTATCCTCACCTTATAAACTATAAAGCTACTATTTCTTCTCCCCATCCTTCTTGGGGGTGTAGGAGTTTTTTGGAAGGGGCTCGCGTTCACTCACATGGAGTTATCTAGAAGGTGGCTCAGGTTCTCAGATCAACATTGTCGACGACTATTGGGTTACAAGGGTTTTTGTTCGGTTCAAGAATTATGTTCCCCCTCCGAGCTTCATTCCAAGGTGTCGAAGATAATTGATCCTATTTCTCAAGCCTGGGATTATTCCGACGGCTTTTTCCTCCTACTACAGTAGATTTCATTCTTGGGATGGAAAGACCACAGGAAGAAATGGATAATTTTGTTTATTGGAAATTCACTCGGGATGGTTCGTTTAAAACTACTACGTCCTCTTATGCTCAGTTGTTGAACCATACTTGTTTGGAAAGATCTATGCCTTCTAATATCCTCCCAATTTGGTGATAGAAATTTTGGGGTCTCCCAATTTTACCAAAATGGAAGCTCTTCATTTGGAAAATTTTACATAATGGCCTTCCCACAGTGACTGTTTTGGCCTTAAAAGGCATTCTGGTTGATGCTAATTGTGGGTTCTGCCATCAATCTCTTGAAACAGTTTCACACATTTTCCAACAATGTGAATTTACTAGTTTGGTCAGGGCTTCTCATCCTTTAAATGCCCTTCGGACATTTCCCCAAGATCGAGATTTCAGTATTTGGTTGTCTAAGGACCGGAGTAGTTTGGATGGCCTTATTACTTTTTTGTGGGTTGTCTGGTTAACTAGGAACAACCTTCGTTTCCGCTCGGAGGTCTATTCTCCAGCTAGGATCTTTGATATGGTTGCTACTTTTAAAAAATATTACTAGGAGTGTAGAGGCTCGAGATTTTTCTGACCTTACTCAACCCCCATAACCTCTGGGGTTCGTTTTCTCTTCTCATCGATCTCTAAGGTTGGGTGGACCCTCTGAAGAGTATGACATCTGTCTTACCTTTGATGGTTCTTGGAGTGCCAGGGATCAACGTGCAAGCATGGGTTGGTATTTATCTTTTGATTTATCTTCCTCGTCTGTTGGGGGAGGGGCCCCGCCGGGTTTCACTTCTTCGCCCCTTCATTCTGAACTGATGGCTTGCTTACTTGGTTTGCGACATGTAAGGGATAAAGGCTACTCCAGTGTGCGAGTTTTTACGGACTGCTATTTAGTTCGGAGGCTAATTTGGGGTCAAACTTCATATACTATCTCGGTTATTTGGATATTGCGGGAAATTTGGCAGATTGTTGCTGGATTCCATAGGTTTAACGTTCAGAAAGTCTCAAGACAAGAGAGGTTATTCTCATCTTTTGGCTGGTTTAGCTCGTTGTCGCCATTTTATTTGTTTTTAGTTTTAGTATTTCTTATTTGTAATCTTTGTCAAAAAAAAAAGATAAACTATAAGCTAATATAGTAATATTAAAAAATGCAAATACTAATATATCACATATTTTTATTATTTATAGACTAAGGGTTTGTTCTCACAGACTGAACTCAGCTGAACTGACCTGAGCTGAGCTGAGCTGAGCTGAACTAAACCGAATATTTTATAAGAGAAGGAAATTAGGAGCTGAAATAAACTGAACTAAATTGAATTTTAACGTATGAGAACATGCCCTAATTAATGATATACTTATAAATTAATAATCTACTTCGTATATAACTAACCTAGTTGAATTAGTTGAATTAATTAAATAGTTTGAACTTGGTTATTACGGGCCTTTTCTCTTTCGCTTAAGTTCAGATTAGTTCATTATCCTCCTCTCATAAAATATTCATTTCAGTATTGCTCAATCAGTTAGAACACGCCCGTCCTCTAACTTATATAGAAATTCTAAAGAGAGTATTGTTATGTTTTTTTATTTGTAGTTGTACCTTTTTTCAAAAGAGTACAAGAACTTTACAATAATACAGTCACGAAATTTAATGCATTTCCAAACTTCACTAGCTTTAATGTTTTTTAACATTCAGTTAATAAATTGGTAACAATGATGACTCCAAATGGTAGAAAGAACTACCTTCTACAATCCTACATTCTCATATCATGAAATATTGAAATCTATTCTTTTCATAAATCAAAATTGTCAGCTTTTACACAAAGTAGAGTCAAAGTAGAGTAAATTCTACTCTTAATCAAAAGTATACAACACAACACGTGAATACCACCACAAAATTACAGACAATCTTTGATTCTTTTCCCAAACATTCTAATCGGGTTTGGATCGGGTTGAACCCGACCCGAACAACAAAATTTTACCCACCAAAGAAATCCTGAACACCTTTCCCAGCAAAAACCTTATCAGAAAGCTCAGCCAAAACGGCATTAACAGAAAGCAAAACGGCACTAGAACCAGCAATAACACCCAAAACGACACCGGTTGTTCCAATCACTTTCCCAAAATCTGGCCATTCAATCTGCCCAATTTCCCCCAAAAACCCGCTCAAAAACCCAGAATCTTCTTCTTCAACCTTTTCTCTCTCCTTCATTGCCTTCTTGATTTCCGTCCCTAATTCCGATAATTGTTCTTCAGAGCTCTGCTGTTGTTCTGTAATGGCAGAATTTTCCTGTTCTTTGTCAGTTTGAGCACCATTTTCGGCTGCTTTGAGGATGAACCTGGTTCGGGTCAGGGAGATAATGGGGTATTTAGGGTTGTTGATTGGTAAATGGAGGTTAGTGAGATGGGGTTTAGAGGGGTTGGAAGATGGGTGGAAGGAAGAGAAGGGGAGGTGAAGGGATTGGCGGAGTGTTGCCATTTTGTGTGACTCAAAGAGTTTGCGGGTGAACAAGATTGAATATTTTGAGGGTTTTTTTTTTTTGGATAAGGATTTGAATCAATTGAATGGGGTTGGATTTGGGTTTGGTTAATTAATCATTGTGTTTGGTCATTTGGATGGATTGGAACAATTTATTAGTTTGATACTATGATGTAGAAATGGCTTGGGGCCTCCAGATCCAAATCCATTTTTATAGAATTTGGACTTGCAAATTGGACTTAGGTAATCCGTGGTGGACAATGGATCTAGACATTTCTCAAATTAGAATTTGTTCCATCTTTCACAAATCGCAAATCTAAAGCGATCTCAAGTAATCCCTCATTTTGAAAATAAACATTTAATGTAACAAAAAGGGTTTTCTTTTTTCACTTTTATCACCAAAAAAAAAAAAAAAATTCAAAAAATGGTTTTTTACCACCAAAACTTCTAAAACAAAAGTTTTAATACCTTCATCATAGTCGTTGATTATATTTTGATGATTTTGTGTTTGGGTTTGGGTTGAGTGAAGCCATTCCACGAAAAGTGGGATTCGGATGGCTAGGATTTGAGTTAGAGGTTGTAGTTTTAAACTTAATGGACGACGGACGAGATTTCTTCTTCTTATTATTAGAAGGGTTACTAAAATAAGGAGGTAAAGGAGGAGGGTACATAATGTCATGATCAAGATGATGAGGGGAAGAACTAGCGTAAGTGAAGTTGGTACGTGCTTTGCTTCCACGCATGACACGTGCCGCAGTGTCGTAAGCACACGCCACTTCCTCGGCATACGTAGTGTCGTACGTGTCGAGCCAGTGGCGTTCCTTAAACTGTGTGTCCTGGATTTCAGTTGCATATCGCCCCCCACGACCTACAATGGACACCTTGGTATCTCATGGTCGTGATTGTGACCGAGGTCTTAGGGGCCTTCTTGGCGGGTCCAAGGGGTTTCTCAGGACCATCATCGAAGGAGTTGGTCTAGGTTGTGGTGAAATAGCAGTGATGTTGTTTTAATTGTGGATCCATGTTTTATTGTATTCTATGTTTATTTTTTGTGCTAGTAGAAGTGGTAGGAAATAAAAGTGAATTTAAAGAAGAGTTGGAAAGTGAGAGTAGCAGCCATGCAAGTATGGTATTTATATAGGCCTAGGGAGAGGGCGTGGGGTGAAGGGTTGTTATTGGCATTAGTAGAAAATAGTAAATGGGAAGCCCCAAATGACAATCGATTATGGAATTTCGCTTCCAAAATTGTAAATGGCAAGCGGTTTTGGGTGAACCGCTTGCAAAATTGTAAATGGTAAGCGGTTTGTACCATGAACCGCTTCCCATTGATTTTTTTTAAAAAACCCTACCCATTTTATAAACCATTTTCACGCCTCTTTTTTCCATTCTCACGCCTCACCAGTTCTCTCTCCTCTCTCCATTTCTCAGTTTCTCACTCTCACTCTCCTCCCCTCTCTTTCTCAGTTTCTCACTCTCCTTGATCTCTTTCTCCTCTCTCCATTTCTCAGTTTCTCACTATCACTCTCCTAAATCTCTTTCTCACTCTCTGTCTCCCTCCTCTGCTATCTCGATCTGAGGTAAAATCGAGTAAAATCAAGTAAAATTTCTAGTAAATTCGAACCAAAAACCCTAATTCTAGGAGGCGGTGGTGCATGCGTGTGGGTTTTCAAGTTTTCTAGGTCAAATTCGACCATTAAACTCTAGATCTGAAGTTTTTATGGTCGAATTTGACCTTTAATACCATAATTTCAAGCCAAAATCGGCGCTTTCATGGACGCGGATCACGTTTGGGTACAGGTCGTGGTGGGTTAGATGTTTTTTTTTATAGGTGGGTTTAAGGTGCTTGGTAGTGGTGATGATTCGGGATAAGGGGGCTAATAGAGGTGATACGGTTTAAGGGCGGTTGTGGAGGGTGGGTTGTGGGTTCTGTTTGGGTGGGTTTAGCCGTTTAGGTGATAGATCTGGGTTAGGGTGGGTGGGTTAGGGAGGCTGGAGGTGTGGGGTGGCGGGTGGGTTCCAGTAAGGTGGGTAGGGATTCTGGTGGCTGGGTATGTGTATGTTAGTGGGTGGATTAAGGTTAGTCGGGCGGTGTAAGGAGGGTGATCCCATCGTAAGGGGGTCCTTCCTTAGATGCTTATGGCCATTTAAAAGCCTAGGATTTTACACTTGTTAGGGTGTATTAGGATTTGAATTCCTGACTGTTTGGGAGACCTTGAATTAGAAATGATACTCTCATCATGCTTTTTTGTAAGAAACAAGTAAGAGTCGCCAATGAGTTTTAGGAAAACTCATAAACCTCTTTCATGCCTTTCTCCCAAGTAGAGTTCAAGGGATAGTTAGCACGAGTCATAAGTTTACCTATGCCCAAATTGATCTACATAAACCAGAAATGAGTTCGGGAGCTAGGGTACTAAGATAACGTTCCCTTTAGAGGGGAATCGCTATCTTAGCCCTAGTACGACCTCTACTAGCTTTTCCTTTTTTCACAATTTCATTATCAAACAATATATGCAACGTGATACCTAAAGACTAAGTTAGTTGATTTTATTTACAAGCATTAATCACGTTGGAATTACATTGCAAAAGTTATTATTCTTTGTTTAATCAATATTCGTGAAAAGAACAAAATAAACAATATTTGCCTTGTCTTAAGTGATAAAACAACAATTAATTATCAAATTCTATTCTTGATTAACAAAAGAATACTATGTGAATTAATTAATTAAAAGTTTGTTTAAAGTGATCAAACAACACTATTTATTCAATTAAAGTTATTTAAACAATAAAGGAAAAGTGATTTATCTAAGTGCTTAGGAAACTAACTGTTTTTCTTTTATGTTAAATCTCCGTTTAATGTGATTATAGACTTTCTTTCTTCTTTGTACCTTCAAGAGCTTCAATGGATGGATTAGGGTTGAAGAGTAGTTGGGAAGAAAGAGGGAAAAGTAGTATGATAGTAAGAGAAGTAGAGAGATTAGGGTTTTTAGAATAATAGGGTTTTAATTCTGATTTTTCCGGTCCCCGTAATGCTGAACAAAGACCCCTATTTATAGGTGTAGGGATATAGGTTTAAGATTTTAGAGCCGCGGCGTCAGGTGGTGCGCGCAACTGATTGAGTTGCGCTGGTTTGCAGTTTACCTTATATGAAAGCGCGTTTTTAAAACTTCCATAACTTTTGATTGCGGAGTCGAATTAAGGCGTGTAGGATATCATTGGAAAGCTCTGAATGTCTAATTTCTAATGCCGTTAGAATTAGGTTAAAATATGTATGAATCAAAATTTATGGCCGTTGGAGTGCAAGGGTGTCGGTTTTAGGGCCCGGTTGAGTGTTTTGATCATAACTTCTTCATTTTGGCTCGGAATTGGGCTTATAATATACCGTTGGAAAGCTCTTTGAAAGGGATATCCATCTGTATAGGCGTTTTATGGGAATTTGATGTTGTTTTACCTTTTTGGCTCGGTTTTTCAACAATGTAGGTTCCATTGGATCCAATCATTGCATTTGACGCATTTGGTTCCGTTATTAATCAAGTTTAAACATGAATGAACATGTTTTATGCCTAATTATTAATCTTTCAAGGCTCTAAGATAAATTGGTCTCAAATATGGGTTTCAAATTACGTCATAATGCATTTCGTAGTCCATAAACACTTCAACTTTGATCTAACATGAAGAACGGATTTTTATAACATCATCGCACTTCCTTTCGGGACAAGAGTCCAAAAGTCGATGTCTACAGTTAGCCCCCACTTTGATTGTGTCTAGAATAGACGATGACCAAAGTAGTCAAGGAAATAAATCCGAGACTCATTCTGTGAAGTTCTCAAAGAATAGAGAATCTTTCAGAAATGTTAAGGATGTGGAAACAATCCTTGGCTCGCTAAGTGTTCGAAACAAGTAGCTATTAAGGCTAGGAAAAGTTTTTTCCTAGTCTTAACGCGATAAAGAATCTATATTGATCCTTTGCAATAGTAGAACGCTTTTACAAGTAAAGGTGTTTAGGGTGATTTCAAGTCATGAGAAGAGATTGGTTTTAAAAAAGAATAAAAGGGGATGATTTCCTCTCAATCGTGTCATTGTTGGTCTAAATTCCCTCGATATGTCATTGAAACTTTAGCATGACTTTAACAAAGTAAAAAGATGAAAAAGGTGTTTTTGGTATTCGAGCCTAAATGGTCCGGTATTCGAGCCGGATGTCCACAAGATAGAAATACATGTCTCAGGACTAGAGGCATATATCCAAATCCAGTGAGAGGGAAGAAAGTCAGCAACTCTCTCGGCAGTTTTATCCACAAGATGAGTACACGTGTCTCAAGAATGGGGGCACGTGACTACATAGGCGCGACATCATCTCTTCGCTTCTTTATACTGGGGGTAGTCAGACACCCTAACTGTCCGGTAAGTTAGTAAGCGCAATAATTACCGTATTTGCTTCCATTCAAGAAGTGCCTATTCCTGATGGTTCAGCGCGCCTGTCGACTCGTGAGCTAACGCCTACAGTAATTCTCTACCTTTTAATTCCGAGAGGTAGATCTTGCAAAGCTTGGGCTGAAGTGAAATTTTACGCAACACCTACGCCGTACAATTTTGCGCCGTACGATACGCCATTTGCATTTTTACGCTGCATGAAAACGCATTCCTTTTTGCTTCGGACGTGAAAAAAGAAGAAAACTCGGATATTTGTAACATCAGTACAGTAAAATGACAAACCTGTCTATGGGTGCTTTTACATAAAGCACCACCAGGAACGTCTTAAAGCACTCTTACGAAAAACGTTCAAAACGTATGCTTGGGGAAGGCACAAAGCACGGTGTGCATGCAATATGATGCAAAAAACTAACAAATAAGGAACTAAACTACAGAATTCAAAGAAATTTAAAAGATTTTAATAATTTGCGCGCCATTACGTCTAATGACGAGCAAAACCCGTTGAAAAATGATCAAACAGATCAAAATCCGGATACCGGTCATTTTAGTGACCAGTATCCGCGCGCAAATCAGTAGGTCGCGCTGGCAAGGCGTGCGCATCTTTTTGAGTTGCGCTGGTATGTCACGCGCAACTAATTCTGTTGCGCGCGATATTTTAAGTTAGTAAAAAGAGAATTGCTGAGCTCGATTTTTCATTTCGCTTTCTTTCTCCTTCCTTCATGATTTTTGCTTTTTTCTCTCTCTAAAGAGCTTGGATTTTGCTTGTTTTTCGAAGCTAAAGGAAGTAGATCTCGTCCCTTATTCATATTTGCCATAATTAGCTCATTCTTGGCTGAATTTGGGTGACTTTCGAACCGTTAAACCCCAAATTTTGAATTTGGGGGGTTTTTTTATTCGACTTGGTTTCATGAATCTGTTTGTTTGTCGTTGTGACATGTTTAAGCAATATATTGCATCAAATTTCATGTTA